GTTTTAATCTGGGTCGCCGTCAGCCATTAGGTGTGCAGTTGTGCTGCTACCCACTTCTCCCTCGGATCTCCGTAAGTGTTGTGAGGACTCTAAAACTTCACCAGAGCCTCCCTCTGCATATGGGTGAGTAGATAATAGCTGAATTTTCATTTTTGGGTGCACTATCCCTTTAAAGATAATCTTTGTTCAGTTTTTACTGAATATTTGAAGGTAAACTGGTCAACATGTAAAACTATATCACTTACTTTGTTGCAATACTGTTTTCTTAAGTTGATAGTAAAATAATATGTATTTTTTTACTAATTTGTCATATCATCAAGAATATCAGTATTGCAAAATTACCCCGAAATATTGTGATATTATTTTAGGGCCATATCGCCCATCCCTAATATGTACTGGTAGTGTGTTATACTATGGATATATTTAATATTTCAGTATTACTTAGTATTTCAATCCTTTTATTTTACTATAACTATAGTGTATTATAGTATATTCTTTTTATTGTATATTCTGAAGATATATATCGTATTCTTACAGAACATGTTGGGGTTTATTTTTTTATTGAGACATTTTTTTCTCTTCTTGTGTGGTATGTGTATCACTGTGCTTTTACCGCTCCCCTGCCTGCATATAACCTGCTGCTGTAATGAAAGAACTGGAGCAATAGATCTATTTGCCTGTCTGTCTGCCTGTTGATCTGAGTATCTATAGGTGTATTTATGTGTCTATCTGAAGGTTCAGTGTGTAAGAAGTATTGTCACATACATATACTATCAGATATTAATATTTACTTTCAACATATTGTACCACAATAGCCAGAATCATAATTATAATATTATTACTTTCATTAATGTTGTTGTAAGCTACTGTCATTACTGTCTGTCCTGCATCTCTCTGTCTCTCTTTCTGTCTCATTGTGTCATATGGATTACTGTTAATTTATTATGTTGATCTGTTCTGTAGGACATCTGTTGCACGTCTGTCCGTCCTGGAAGAGGGATCCCTCCTCAGTTGCTCTTCCTGAGGTTTCTACCGTTTTTTTCCCCCGTTAAAGGTTTTTTTTGGGGGAGTTTTTCCTTATCCGCTGCGAGGGTCCAAAGGACAGAGGGATGTCGTATGCTGTAAAGCCCTGTGAGGCAAATTGTGATTTGTGATATTGGGCTTAATAAATAAAATTGATTGATTGATTGAAGTGCGTAAAATTTAGGGGATTTAGTGGCATTTAGCAATGAAGATTTCACATTGCAATCAGCTGCAACATCTCCCAGTTAGAATTCCTTCAATCTTCCATGTTCAGGAGGTTTTTACCAGGAGCTTCATTATCACAATCAGCAGAGGTTTGTTTCTCTCCAAATCAAAGAGACCAGGGGCCTCAATTATAAAACTGCACAGGAAAGTTGACTAAAGGTGACATATGAACAAAGCACAGGAAACTGCTTAGGAACAAAAATATCCTGATTTATAACACAGTGCGCACGCATGTCCCATGCTGGTTTCCATTTAGAAATCACAGGCATCTTGAAATTTTGGGCAGGTGAGAGTGTGTCTTGCCACCACCCATAGGTGCCTACAAATGGCCAGTGAAACGCCCTTAATTGATATTCATCAACAACAAACTACATGAAGAAGAGCATGGCAAATGTAACAAGTAAAAGGTAAAAAACAAAATTCCAGAATATGTGAAGTTGAAGCTCTTGTTGGGGAGGTTGATAACAAAAAGACAGCGTTGTTTGGTGGACTCAATATGGGCATTACTAAAGCCTAGTTCACATTACACGATTTTCACCGCGATTTTGATGTCGCAGAGGCTCTTGAGAGCCACCTTGGGTCATAGGTGAGTCAGCTGATAGTCTGCCACGACGAGTCCTCATGTGTGAACAAGCCTACGAGCAAGTCGCCCAGACATTTAGAGAGCAAGCCCAAATAAGCAACTCCACTTTAGAAACAAGCCCAAAGTCACGGCTAATAAGCAGACCTGGCAAGTGGCAACCCTGTGGCTTGTCCTCCTCACATTTCTTCTGTCCTCCTGCATGCTGACGTTGGATGTATCCCGCCTATCATTGGCTGATGCTCTTTGTCAGTCGTGTCAGCCTTCTCCAGTTTTCTAGCATGCCAGATATCCAGTCCCAGTCACAGACGAGGGGGCGACTTGCTCGCGTTTAAATAACTTATTAGACGGATATATATATCCGTCTAATAAGTTATTTAAACGCATGATAGTATGCCGGACTGGACTCGCTTCTTTTGGGATTGTTTCCATAGCCCTGGTTGCTTGTTTCTCTCCCAAAATCTGGCAACACTGAGAAGCTGGCCGACAAGCAACAACAACAATGGCAGAGTCCAGAGGATCACGGGAAGCGCTTTGTGTTTGGACCCAGGATAATAAAGAATATCCATGCCTTTACGATGTGTCGTCTCCAAGTTTGGTGACGTCACCATGTTATCTGGGGCTCTGTCGGCAACAGTGTGGTGGAGAAATCTTGTGGTATGCACACACAGGTCGTAACCCAGTTGGCGAGACTCCCACTGACAGAAACACTAGGGCTGTAGTCTCCTGGTCGACTAGTCGATTATTTGGTCACTATGCTCTCGTCCGACCAAATTCGCATTAGTCGAATAATCGCCATGTTACTTTCATAAGGAGAAAAGTGCTACATCAACAGCTTTCCAGGTTTAATCCATTATTTCCTGCGGCAGGACAGGCTAAGTTACCTGGGAAAATGGGGGTGTTTTCAAAACACTCCTGTTGTCGACAGAAAGTTGGACTCGCCCACCCTCACGCTCAGCGTCACGGTGACGCAGACCTCCTGTCTGTTTCTGTAAACTGTCTGTTTCCCTCGGTGGAAGCGAAGCTTGTATTTATTTGTATTTCACAGATAAGAAACAAGAGATTGTGAAGACAGTCAAGCCTCCACTAAAATAGCATTTTAAGTCTTCTGTGTGATCTATCCCTCAGGAATTCATATGAGCCGAGGAAATCTCCGCTCGTCGCTGGACTAATGTATACCATGTAAAATGCCATAGGCTGGCGCTAATAACGTAAGCATGTTGTATTTGCTTGGAAAATGTGTTTAGTATAAGACAGTTGTTTTGTCGGTAACCCTTGTGAGTTGTAATGGAGCCAAATTATGTACCGTTACCTTTGTTAAATGTTGCTGTTGTCCCTGGTTTTATATGAGGAGAGGAAAAGATCACTAGACGCTAGGCTAGTTTATTCAATGTAAATTGCCATAGACTTGTGCTAATAACGATAGCATGTTGTATTGGTGGGGGAAATGTGTCCAGATAAAGACAAGGGTTGTCTGTCAGTTCTGTGATTTATAGTGAAGCCAATTTGCGTACTTGTGTTTGAAACGGTCTCTATTAAGCCATGTTTAATGTGAGTTTTGAATCAACTATATAAATAAAGTTTGATTTGAACTAAACTTTAACACAGTCCTCCACCGCAGACTAGTGTTTTGGAGGTGTAACTGCAGAGTGACACAGATACACCACCGCAGAAGTAAAAATAACGTGCAGATTTTTTTCCCTTTGCCTTTGGCAAATGCTGTAAATGCTGCTGCCTCAGACTGTTTCAGAAGTCAGGATGAGGAGGTCAGATATTAAGGTGTTTAGGCTATTTGCAGTGATTTATTGAGACAGGAAACCGAGGGATGTTTCGAGCTGACTGTCAGACAGTTTCAGTGACTGAGATAAACACTTTAATAGGGGATACAGATGTCATAGCTGTTTGACAAACAATCTGATTTTGTTGCTGGCGCATCTGGCAACCCCCAAAAAGGGAATGGTTTTACATGTGGTGTCCACAGGCAGCTGCTCTCTCCTTACTGATTCTTCTCTAGTTTTGTGTTCTGCTAGTGTCCTTGTCACTACTGATAGCATGAGGCGGTACCTGTAGCCCAATCAGGTTGCACAGGTAGTCCAGCTTCTCCAGGATGGCAGCATGGTTTGCTGTGTCTCCCAGTACAGTGTCAAGAGCATGGAGAAAATAGCAGGAGACCAGCCGTTACACGAGGAGAGCTGGACCGTAGAAGGGCATCAACCCAGCAGCATGAGCAGTGTCTGCTCCTTTGTGTGAGGAGGAACAGGAGAAGCACTGCCAGAGCCCTACAAAGTGGCCTCCAGCAGGCTACTGGTGTGCATGTTTCTGACCAAACTGTCAGAAACAGACTCCATAAGGGTGGCAAGACGGCCCGACATCCTCTAGTGGGACCTGTGCTCACAGTCGCTCAGCTCAATTCACATTTGCCAGAGAACACCAGAATTGGCAGGTCTGCCATTGGCACCCTGTTCTCTTCACAGATAAGAGCAGGTTCACACTGAGCACATGTGACAGGCATGAAAGAGTCTGGAAATGCCGTGGTAAACCATATGCTGCCTGTAACATCATCCAGCGTGCCTAGTTTGGCAGCAGGTCAGCTATGGTCTAGGGAGGCATCTCTTGGAAAGGTTGCACAGACCTCCATGTCATGACTGTCCAGGAGCTCACTGATGCCCTGATCCAGGTCTGGGAGGAGATTCCCAGGACACCATCTGCCAACTCATCAGGAGCATGCCCAGACGTTGTCGGGAGTGCATACAGGCACGCGGGGGCCGTACACACAAATGAGTTACATGATGAGTTGCCGTGATAAAATTCACACAATTTGGATTAGTCTGTGACTTCAATTTTTTACTTTGATTTTCAGTGAGATTTTGAATCTAGCCCTCAGTGGGTTGATGATTTTGGTTTCCATTGACCATTGTTACATCATTTTGTTCTCAACAAATTATACAACATACATCAGTGAGGATTTTCAACTTGAATAATTCGTTCACCAAGATATGTGTGAAGTGTTCCCTTAATTTTTTTTGAGCAGTGTAATTCCATAGTATCTTGTCATATGGTTTGAGAATACACAGTGTCTTAAAATAGCATTGTTTTGTGGTGCAATGTGTTTTTCTCACCCATGTAACTGCAGTCTTAGTTGATTCAAACTTGGTTCCTTGTCTTGTTTCAGGTTCGTGAAGTCTGCGAGAGTTTTTCCAGAGAAAGTCTCAGATGGCAGGTCTACGCTCTACTGGCCCTGCAGGAGGTAAGCAGTTGCCTCCACCACCAAGCTAACAAGCTGTCTTTGTTAGCAGGGCAAATGATTCAGTGGATAAATGTAGTGTTTACTTCTGTGAAGCATACATAAAATACCTCAGACAAGATTGAGATTTAGAATATCACTCAAGGATAACAGTATAAATTGTTGGGGTGGGGGAAAGAATTGATTCTTAGATGCATCATGACATGGACGATTTGGCATAGATTCATAAATGTCAATAATCAACTATCTAAATGATTATTAAGATAAGGTAAACTTTATTGTCCCAAGCGGGAAATTTGTTTTGGGCACATAGCGACAAAGCTACATAGCAGATGAAACCATCATATACAAACAAGACACACAGTGGACAACCATGTAGTACGCAAGGCGCAGATTTGAATAACATAATGGTACAATTAGGCCTACTGGATGAAATAAATACATCAACTTTATCATATCAGGTAAGGCAAAAAGAATAAAAGCTCCTTAAGGTTGCACTAGCCCAGGGCGTAATCATAAAAAGTGCAATAAAAAAGCTGTAGTATAAATAGTGCAAATAAAATACAGTAGTGCAAGTGGATCCACAACAGTAGGACTCCCCAGTACCCTAGTAGGGAGAGAGGAGAGGGCAGGGGTGGAAGGGGCTATCGACATCAGAAGTAAGTATTTGTTTATTAAGTAGTGAGATGGAGGTGGGGATAAAGGACAGTTTAAAACGATTACTCTTACATCTGCTGGCTCTGTAGCGCCTTCCCGACGGTAACTGTTCATATTCGAGAAGAAGAAAATATGAGGGGTCACTCAGGATTTTTTTTGACTTGTCTGACTACTGCACCCTCATATGCTAACTGAAGAGACAAGTTGGTGGTTTCTCCTACTAGTCTTACACTGGACTGTAAGGGAGCCAAACCATACTGCCGTACCATATCTTATAATGCTTGCTACGGCATTGTAAAATGTTAACATGATCTCGGTTCGGACCCCAAACAGCCGCAGCCTGTGGAGTGGTTGTTGTAGCCTCTTCAAGCTCTAAACTCTGGAAAATGCTTCAGTCAGTGCTGATGAAGCAGCCCCTCAGTGTTTCTATACTGTCCTCAGTCCACTTCAGCACTGGGCCTTGGTTGATTTCAGCACTAATTTATACTTATAAATGAGTGCTGAAATCAACCAAGGCCCAGTGCTGAAGTGGACTGATATAGCTCAAATACGCTAGTGTTAACTTGCGATTCATCTTCACAAAAGGCAGTGGCACTGCTAGCTCCTTTTTAATTTGTCTTAATAATAACATTTAGAATAGATAAAGGTTCCTGTTAAACAATTCAGGGAGTGGGATGAGCACATTTCAAGATTAATTTGGAATAATAAATGACCAAGAGTGAGATTCTCAACATTACAGCAGCCGGGGGAGAGGGGGGGCATGGCTCTGCCTTGCTTTATGGATTACTATTTGTCTGCTCAGCTGAGGTATTTGGTATGTTGGTGTAACCCAGCCTATGAGGCTAAATGGAAAGACATTGAGTTATCTTTCATGGACATGTCTATTCAGTCAGTTTTAGGTTGTCCCAAGAGATTTAGTGAAGTCTATCAACTGCAAAACCACTGTGTCGATTGTTCTTTGAAAGTGTGGTCAAAAGTGGTTAAAAGACTTCGGCTTTACACAGAAATTGGACAGTTGAGCTGACCTGTGTTCCACCCACACTTCCTCCCAGCATCACTGGACCATAAGTTCAAACAATGGACTAGGCAGGGAATCAACTCTTTCTGCAGGATAATGAAAAATGGAAATTTAGTTGATTTTGAGGATTTAAGAAATTCTTATGGGTTAGGCAAGGATGGTATTTACCGATATTTACAGGTCCACCACTTTTTGGAAAAGAAATAAAGACCCCTGATCTAGCAGAACCCTCAAGAATAATACAAATATTTATCGATACTTATGATTCAAAAGGTACTAAAGGAATCATTATACAAGAGCTTTATTTCACTAAATAGGAACACAACAGATTATATTAGACAGCGCTGGGAAAAAGAAGCCAATATAGTGATTTCCGATGAAACATGGCTCCAAATTTGGAAAAATCAATCCACTTCCACAAATTGTCTTTATTGGCGAGATTTTTGCTGGAAGAATTTGATACGCTTTTTTATTACCCCGAATCAAAAGTCCAAATTCAGTAATTCACAGTTTTCTTGTTGGAGGGAGTGTGGTGTGGCTTCTGCAGACCATGTTCATGTCTTTTGGTCTTGTCCATATATTATATCCTTCTGGAAAGAAGTGGGTCACTTAATTGCTGAGATGTTGGACATAACTCTTGATTTCTCATTTACCTGTTTTTATCTTGGAAAAATTCCTCAGAAAAAGGGACATATACCTTGTAAAAAAAGCAATAACCAAAAGTTGGCTTCAGCGAAACCCTCCTACCATGAGACTGTTTACGAACATTATAAACTCTATTTGTGGAATGGAGAAAATGACTTTTATATTGCGGCTTCAAAGGAGAAAGGAGATGAATACTGGGAAAAATGGGATATGCCACACAAAGACTCTTAATAACCCCTACACATCTCAGTATGTCTGTGTGTTTATGTACTGTACCTGTGCCTATTTTTTTGTTTTTTATTGATACTGTACCAGCCATTTTGTGTTTTGTGTTTGAACAACACAAATAAAAGTAGTATAAAAAAAGACAAAAAAAAGAATAGAGAATAGAAAAGAAAGAACTTCAGTTATCTCCAAAGGGAAGTTCAGCTGTCCAGCAGTTCATAAAAGACAAAAAAAACAACCACACTTCCCCTCATCAACAACAACACTACAGTGGTATTAAAATAGACATATAAAATAAAATACGTTAAAATAAGCGCACAAATAGAAATTAAACAGTGTTAAACAGTCTTATTGCCATGTTAAACAGTCTTATTGCTGTGGGGACGAAGGATCTCCTGAAACGCTCTGTTCTGCAACGCAGTGAGATGAGCCAACTGCTGGAGCAGCTCCTCTGTCGCTCCAGGAGGCTGTGGAGAGGGTGTCTGCTATTGTCCATTATAGTTTTCAGTTTGTTCAATGTGCCCCTCTCCACCACAGTTCTTAGTGGGTCCAAACTCCTGCCGACCACTGAGACAGCTTTTTTAACCAGCTTGTCCATTGGTGTTTTTGTCTGTCAAGCTGCTTCCCCAGCACACTGCTGCGTAGAAAAGTGCACTGGCCACTACTGTGTGATAGAACATGGTCAGCATCTCCACACAAACATCAAAGGACCTCAGTGTCCACAGGAAGAACAGGCGGCTCTACCCCCCATGTAGGGGGCATCAGTATTAGAGGACTAGTCTAGCTTATCATCCAGGAGGACCCCACGTACTTGTAGGTAGATTTAGAAAATAGAAATAGAAAGACCTTAATTGTCATTATTCAACAAGTGTATGACAAAATTAAAACCACTGCCTCTGATAGTGCAAGGAAGAATAAAAGTTCAAGTAAACTGTATAAAACAATCAACACTAAAAAACATACCGTAAAACAAACAATAAATAATAAATAATAAATAATAAATAAAAGCCAAAATACGACAACAATACTGACCAGAACTCGTGTGAAACTTCCATGAATAATTACATTATTTGCAGTGGGAATGATGGAATGAGGAAAGTTATAGCACTAGGCGACAAGAATGGTAGTAATTAACATTATTGCACAGTGAATGTGTATTGCACAGAGATAATGTGTATTGCACAGAGATAAGGCACATTGTTTTGTTTTATCTCTGTATCTTTTTTTGTTTTTTGGTGGTCATTTCCATTTTTAGGGCCCGAGCACCTAGTGGTGCAAGGACCCTATTGAAATGCAAGGATTTTTTATTATTATTATTAGGGCCCGAGCACCTAGCGGTGCGAGGACCCTATTGAAATGCAAGGATTTTTTATTTCTTATTATTAGGGCCCGAGCACTTAGCGGTGCGAGGACCCTATTGAAATGCAAGGATTTATTATTATTATTATTATTATTATTATTCCTCCAAATGAATTGCCTTTTTGGGAGGCTTAACATACCCGAAAACTCATGAAACTTTGCACACATCTCAGAACTGGTGAAAAATTTGATATTTTAAGGGTCTCGTGTGCGGGTTCCAAAAAATGGCTCAGTAGCGCCCCCTACAAAAGTTTGAGGAAACAGCCCCTGAAGCTAGTTTAACCTACATGTATGAAACTCGGCAGGCTTATGTAACGCCCAGAGACGTACAAAAAAGCCTCTTGGAGGCATGCTCTAAACCCAACAGGAAGTCAGCCATTTTGAATTTACTGTGCAATTTTGGTGCATTTTTGGCCATTTCCAGGGGTCATAAATGAACGAACTAGTCCTAGAGATTTCATCCGATTGACTTCAAACCTTGGTCTGTCCCATCCCAAGACCTTGAAGATGAAAAGTTATCAAAAGCTTGAGTTTTCGTCAATGCGTGTGACCGTGGGATGGCGTCAAAGTTAGGGGTCTCGCCACTAAACAGGAAGTAGTTTATAACTCCAGCATACATGGTCCAATTTTGGCCAAACTTCACAGGATTGATGACAGTCCCGCCCTGAACACATCTACATGTCAATAATTAGAGATAAACATAGCGCCCCCTACTGGCAATGGGAAATGTCACGTTTTAGACTTTAATGTACATCTCCTACAGACTTGACCAGATCCACTTCAAACTTGGTGAAAAAAGTCATAAGACGTTGATGATGCTTTATTGTGGAAACTGTGAGTTTTCGTCGAAGGGCGTGGCCACGGCCTGGCGGCGAACTTTGATGTTTCGCCGTGATGATAAACGTTGCTGTAACTTGACTCCACGTGGGAATATCTTGCCAAAACTTCACACATATGATGACAGTCCAGCCCTGAACACATCTACAGAGGAATTTTGAATCACCGCCATAGCGCCACCTTCTGGCAACAGAAAGCTACTTTATACATTCTTTGATGTCCCGCTTCTAGCAGGTTAATCAGACCCACCTCAAACTTGCTG